TGGCAATGAATGTTTGTGGCTTACCCTCCTTGTGAAGGGTGTCAATGATTGTCTTCTGGACAACTGTCAGATCAGCAGTCTTCCCCATGATTGTGTAGCCTAGTGAACCAAACTGAGAGATCATTTTGAAGGCTCAGGAAACCTTTGCAGGTGTTTTGAGTTGATTAGCTGATTGGCATGTCACCATATTCTAAATTGTTGAGATAGTGAATTGGTGGGTTTTTGTTAAATGTGAGCCAAAATCATCACAATTAAAAGAACCAAAGACTTAAACTACTTCAGTCTGTGTGCATTGAATTTATTTAATACACGAGTTTCACAATTTGAGTTGAATTACTGAAATAAATAAACTTTTCCACGACATTCTAATTTATTGAGATGCACCTGTATACTTGTATTAATCTACTAAGTAATTAAATCCTTTATATTTTATATATATTGTTGAATTGACTTTCCTACTTCGAATGTCACAGGAGGAATAAGTGACTTTCTGTGCCCTCCGTCATATCCCACAGAATCAAACACAGCATTCTTGGTCTGTAAATAAGAGGTGATGTTAGTCTACAATAAAGTTTCCAATAGGAATTTCATTTCAATATATATTGTCATGGTTGCTTGTGATCCATAAACAAAGAACAACGATACCTTGTCTTCTATTGAATATATAAGCTTAGTCAGTTGTTCCAGTCTGAAAGCCACAGACTGAGTTGCATCTCCAGAAAGCTGAAAAAGAAATGAAACCAACAGATATATTTTAATAATAAAAATAAAAAACTCAATATAACAAACTATATATGATTGTTTTTTTGTCGTTGTATTATTTCTTTACTTATTGTATGTAGGGGAAATGGCAGTGTGTTAGGGGTTTATTACTCAAAACTGGATGTAATATTCAAATATTTATCAGCTACAAATAAAACATATTTTGAAATCTACTATTTACCCCTAAATTGTGTAAATCTGTAAAAAGTCAATTATAAATTGTTGTTAAAAACTATCCCACTACCAAGGTGA